TTTTTGCTTATGTGGTGCTGAGGAATCGAACCCAGGGCCTCAGGCATGCAAGGCAAGCACTCTACCACTGAGCCACCTTCCCAGCCCCCAAATCACAAGTTTTTGTATTCCAAACTGGTTCCTAGGAAAACAGGAATTGTGAAAACTTCCGACTGTTAATAATGAGTACTTTGCAATTAAATATTGTCTCCATTCTTATTTTCAATACTCCTGTATGTCTAGCTCATTAATTTCCTATTTTGCTATAAACATTTCCACAAACTGAAGGTCTTAAAACAGCGCAAACACCACAATTTGTAGTGGAGGGCATGAAAGAAACATTCAATCCCTTCCCCTTTATCTTCTCCCCTCCCTCCCTCAGGCTTGACTTTAAGGCCTGGGGTGCTGTCCCTGAGCTCTTGAGTTCAGGGCTAGTGTTCTGCCACTTTGAGCCACAGCTCAATTTATGAGTTTTTGGTGGTTAATTGGAGATAAGAGTTTCATGTAATTTCTTGCCTGGGCTGGCTTCAAATTGTGATCTTTAGATCTCAGCCTTCTTAGTATCTCGGATTATAGGATTGAGCCATCAGCGCCCAGCCATTCAGTCTCTTACTGTTTAACTAGAGACAAGAGTCTCTGGATTGATCTTCCCAGGCTGGCTTGCAACTGTGATTCACAGATCTCAATCTCCTGAGTAGCTAGGATTACAGATGTGAGTTACCTGTACCAGCCTTTGAATTTTTGTTAGTGTATCTTAATTTGTACAAAGGGGGGATCATTGAGATTTTCCATATGTGTATACAATATATTTGGATCAAATTTACCACCTCTAATACTCTTCTTGCCCCACCTGCCCCATTAAAACATAGTCTTGAGTGGGTTTTCTTATTCTATTTTCCAGCATTGAATGTGAAGTGCATTGATCATATTCACTCCTCTTAATCTCTGCTCCTATCCTTGCCTGGCCACTGCTCTTAACACTCATTCCGTACCTGTTTCACAGTTATGTATTGTTGTGTTATATATGTGTGTGTGAGCAAGTATGTGTGTGTGTGTGTGTGTGTGTGTGCCAGTTCTGAAGCTTGAACTCAAGGCCTGGGCACTGTCCCTGAGCTTTTTAGCTCAAGACTAGTGTTCTACCACTTGAGCCATAGCTCCACTCAGGTTTTTGGTAGTTTATTTAAGAGTCTCAAGGATTTTTCTGCCCAGGCTGGCTTCAAACCACTATCCTCAGACCTCAGCCTCCTGAGTAGCTAGAATTACAGACATGAGCCACTGGCACCAAGCTTTTTTGTTGTTGTTGTTTTGGTTTTTGTTTTTTAAATAGTCCAGAAACATGGTGTTTCCAAGAAGGGAATCAATTTAATCAAATTAGTGTGAACAAATTTTTATCTGTGTTTTTATCTGGTATAGCTTTAATTTTTAATGCTATTTTTAGTGTTCTTAAACTATATTTTACTGGCATATTGATATAAATGTCATGGCTCTCTTTTCTCTTCTTTATGGCAATTATAATTATTGAGAATAGAATTCTGTGATAATCAGAATTACCGCTTTATATGATGGGTTTTTAAAAATTGCTTTAACAAGTATTTGGTTCCAACAAATTTCCATTATAGAGTCTCTGCTATGATTTTTCCCCATATATCTAAAACTTATCCAATCTTTATCTTAAAAAAAATTCCCATGAAATTTGATTTTTTACAGTATTAGAGTAAAATAACTTTGGTTTTATTATAAAAAATAACCACTGAGATATCCATGGAAATATGTACAGATATTTAGTAGAAATTATAAAGGAATACTAGTAAAATACCAATTTTAGTCAAAGACTTAAGTCTAATAGAAATGATAAGTGATCTGCACACATGCACAAACACACTCATGCATACACATGCATACACATGTCTATGTTATCCAGGTGCCGGTGCCAAACACGTGTAATCCTAGCAACTAAGGAGGCTGACATCTGAGGATCAGGTTCCAAGACAGCCTGGGCAGAAAAGTTCATGCGACTCTTATCTCCAATACACACAGACAAAAAGAGCCAGAGCTGTGGCTCAAGTAGTAGAGTGCTAGCCTTAAGAAATAGAAGCTCAAGGACAGTGCCCAGGCCCAGCCCCAAAAGTCTATGATTAGACACATGGCAATTTAATAATTGTAGATGCCTGTTGGCAAAGTAATATATACTGGATGAATAAACCTAGAGAAAAGATAATTTGCAACTTATTGCTTTATCTATTTCTATTCTAGAACCACATGTCTATTATATTATTCCAATGTTTAACTCCTTTGACAACTTACTCATTGAGAAGACTTGTGTATTTTGAATAGTAAAATGTAGTTTTCCAATGCATATTCAAGAAGTCAATGAAAATACACATCCTTTTTTAATTAATAAGTTTTTTATTGTAAAAATATCATACAGAGGGGTTACAATTACATGAGCAAGGTAATGAGTACGTTTCTTATCAAGCATTGTTGCCTCCTCTTTTGTTTCCCCTTACCATCCCTGCCCTCCCATCTCCCCTCCCTCCCCTCCACCCCCCCCGAAAATACACATCCTTGAGGAAAAGATTTCCTGGTTTTGATAAGAACCAGCTTCCTTTTCGCACATTAACTTATTTAACTTCTCTATTCAGTAAAAGAAAAATTTATAGCCACAACTCTTCTACAAACTTCAAAACACTCACAAGAAAAATGAAAGGACATACGTATACCAAATTGCTCTAGCTCAAAGGTTTAAAGTGTTAGAATCTATTGTTTCTCTCCTTCCTTCTTTCCTTCCTTCCTTCCTTCCTTCCTTCCTTCCTTCCTTCCTTCCTTCCTTCCTTCCTTCCTTCCTCCCTCCCTCCCTCCCTCCCTCCCTCTCTCTCCCCCTCTCTCTTTATTCTTCTCTCCCTCTCTCCCTCTCTCTTTCTCTCTCTATCTTTCTCTCTCTTTTTTGTGCCAGTCCTGGGGCATGAACTCAAGGCCTAGGGACTGTACCTGAGCTTTTTTGCTCAAGACTGGTGCTCTACCACTCAGCCACAGCTCCATTTCCAGATTTTTGTGGTTCATCAGAGGTAGAAGTCTCATTAACTTTCCTGTCCAGGCTGACTCCAAAACATGATCTTCATTTCTCAGCCTCCTGAGTAGCTAGGATTGCAGGCATGTACCACAGGTGCCTGACTTCAAATCCATTGTTTCTAATGAATTATCTGTGACATGTTGTTTGGCAGAGTCAACCTCAATGGGACAGACAGGAGGAAACTGTCCTGTTCACTGTATCTAGCACTCAGGTACTGAATGCACCACGAAATTATTGTGGGGCCTGAACTCTGGACCTAGGTACTGTTCCTCAGCTCTTCAGCTCAAGGCTAGTGCTCTACCACTTGAGCCACAGCACCACTTCTGGCTTTTTCTGCTTATGTGGTGCTGAGGAATGGAACCCAAGACCTCATGCATGCAAGGCAAGCACTCTACCACTGAGCCACCTTCCCAGCCCTGCTTTGGTTACTTTTTGAACAGGCTTTTACAGTTTTGCCCAGTGCTGCCATTGGACTGCGATTCTCCTATGTGTAATGTTCCCTGCCCTCCCCCCATACAGCTGTAATTACAGATTTATATCACATTAGGGATTTTAGTTGTGATGGTGGTAGGAGTCTTCTGAGTCTTTTGC